CGAACATCTGGAAACGTCTTGCTGAAAGAAGATAATTCGAACAGAAGAGGCAATAAATATTCGAGAAATTCAGTACCCGGATCCTTGGATTGCGGTTCCATTTTTCCGCAGCACTGTTTTCAACAATTCCAACTCTTTCTCTAGGGCATCTAATCTTGCAGATAATGCGCTAAAGCAAGGTAATTTGATTGAATGAACAAACTCATTCGTTTTACTAACACCAACTAAGTGCTAGCAAATCGAATCAAAAAATTTAAAGCGTTTTCATCCCAAAAACTCCACTATAAATGACTGAAATCACCTCCGCTCCTTCTCCATAACATATAGTTTGGACAAATAAGCACTCGAATGGCCAGTTTCTGGATCTACAGTGAAAGCGCTTGACGAGATGAGTGCAACGTTATAAACTGAAGATAGCACAACTGAAAGCGATTAACTATAACTATCGATAGATTAAGGCATTTCGAGATTGAAGTAGACTTACATATGAAGGTAACAACCACTACAAGCATTACAACTACTATGCGAGTAGAGGAGAGTCGAAACAACCAATTCGGCTGTGGCATTCACGGAATTAAACCGAAACGACTTCCGCTATAGTGAGACTGGGGCCGAAGTTGTCAAACGAGACACTCGCTCTATAAACGAAATGAAACTGGAGCCATTAGAAAGAGCTAAACGACCACCAACATTATGAATCGACCCATATGAAGTTCGCAGAAATCGTAAAATCTACGGTCATGGATGTGCAGGACAGCATGAGACAACAGTAGCAAAAAACGGCACTATTGCATTATTACAACCCCAGTGGGGGCCGAGATGGGTCAAAAAATAATTTTCGCTGAAACTTTGCTATGGGGGTTATCGAGGGTCCTGATCACGAATATGACATCCATTTTTGGCGCTGGCGCCACTACTGATTATCACCAAATTCGCTGTAAACTTCTGAATAGGGGTTATTTGGGGCCCTGATCACGAATATGACACTCGTTTTTAACATTCGTGCTGTTTAACGCATATTTTCTGCTTTTCTAAGCTTTCTCACCTATAGCGCCTAGGACTAAGCTTAGGGGAGGGGAGTGAAACTCCGGAGTGGGTAAACCACGCACCGTGTGGCAAAAGTTGGAGTGTGTTAGACCACAGGGGAGTGGCCTACTCACTTTGGAGCCCTCCACTATTCAAAGGCTTAGTCCTGATTGCGATCTAATTAGTGCGAGGGCGCAGACGAGCAGGAAGCAGGCGCCGAATAGCGCTAACAACAAAAACGAATCATATTCGTAATCAGGACCCCAAATAACCCCTATACAGAAGTTTACAGCGAATTTAGTGGGAATCAGTCGTGGCGCCACCTGGCGCCAAATGGCGCCAATTGGCGCCAGCGCCAAAAATGGATATCATATTCGTGATCAGGACCCTCGATAACCCCCATAGCCGAAGTTTCAGCGAAAATTATTTTTTGACCCATCTCACCCCCCTGGGGTTGTAATAGTGCAATAGTGCCAAAAAAACAAATGTCAAATACAATAGGAAATACTGGCGCTGTTTCAGTAGGGACGAAGGAGGGGCATTCTTGCAAAAAGCATCAAAACAGTTCAGAGGATAACGATTTCCGTCTAACAAGGATAAGAGCTTCGCAGGGCGTGGAACTCACTGAATAAACCTCTTTTGCACCAGGTAATTTATTACTGGACCTGGAATTGCTCCCCTAAGCTTGGGCCAAATCCTCTTCCGCCCTCACCCAACCAACCACTTGTTTGCACTATCCAGCCTCAGCTGTACAACATCCAAAAAGCTATAGTATCCTTACCATCAAACGCTGAGTTGGAGTAAAATGGTGCCCCGCTAGTGTAACTGATAGCACAATAGCCCGGAAAGCAAGAGATCCGGGTGCGAATCCCAGCTGGGGCGGAAGTTTCGGCCACAACTCAGCATTCTTGTCAACATTTACCATTTGAATCCGACAAAAAAGGAACGAAAAAAAAGGCGAAAAATAAATCCAGAACTTCTTTCTAATACTTACTTTGTGCAGTCATACACGAGAATGGATGTATCAACAGAAGAATACACGAGCTTGCAATCATGCACTCCATGAAAAAAATTTGAAGACTTTCATCAGGCCTCACAAGAGAATGACGTCAAATTATGCCCACCTGAATATGAACTGTTGATGGATGATATATGCCTTCAATCGGCGAGTTCACTTGATTGCCCAGACAATGCGGGCATCCGTGCAATCCAGTACATTGAAGCAATTCAGGCTAAAAATTTGCGGTCAAAGGTAAGCGATAAGTGAGATTTCCGAGCACAAGAAGCGAAAACTGCGTTTGAATAAGAACGAAAAACATCAAGCTTCAGGAGAAAAGTGCTGATTTCAGCGTGCAGTGGCCACTATCTACGCAATGAAGACAGGCACGAGAAGGGGGGGGGGTACATTATAAGCAACAATTCACTTTTCCTTTCAAGAAATTTAGGGCCCAACTCTCTTCTGACTTGCTGAACTTTTGATAAATGCTACTATAGAGATTCATTTACCTGAACCAGCATGCTTGACAGGCCGTCGTTGTGCAGTTCGTTGGAGAAACGTAATAACTTCGTATAGCATCCAATGATTCAGTAGAGGTGGCATCTTCTAGCATTTCATTCATTCAACAATTCCGTTAAAAATTATTATGATAGGCTGAGGTTTTCTGTAATACTGAATAACTCAGAAGTCAGAGTTACTAGAAATTGGGCTAAAAAACACGAAACAAGACTTCCGAAATCCTATCGTGAACAGTCTCGAAGTCAACCTTGTTCAGTAAAGAGGCAATACCTACAATTAAATCCACTAACAACAGTCAATCTTTCACGGATATTTATTCCAAATACTACACTACATGAAAGTGCAAAATATGAACGCATCAGGATCAGAACCTATGAAAAACCCACCGATGGCGATAATAAAGTCAACACAACGTCCACCAAGCATGAGATAACAACAGATTGAAGCAAATACTACCAGCGCCTCATTAACTCACTGCATGATACCCTAAAAACACCACGCTTGGAGTAATCTAATAAATGCTAAGGTACGATAAAGAACAAGTCATCACATTATTGTTCCTGCCAAGACCCTGCGATCCGATGAAGAAGTAGCTGATTGGTAACATGACGCAGAGACTGGAAGATCACGACATCTACTAAATAGGGATAAATTAACTGGCATAACGATTGTGAGTGGAACCACTAGCAAAACCATGCAGATAACGAGAAATTATTGTGAGTTCTTGTAAGTTCAGAAACCTTTGTTACGAAAAAAAAACAGTGGGAATGTTATGAAAAACAGCTTCGAACTTCTGTACAAAAACAGCAAGAGCTTACCTGCACGTTTTAATTATCGGATATAGCTGCAGCAATTCTGAGCTAACAACTCAAAACGGTAACAATCTGTAGACCCGATCGAAACCGCTAACGAGGCAGAACACATCCACGTACGCTGAAAACAATACTCATAAGTTACTCATCCACTAAGAGAATAGTAAAGTCACACAAAAGATTCGAGAAATCGGGAACCCAATCTAATCCTATATACAAAGTAGTTTCCGTCACCTGCATGTAATGAATCGTTGTCAGATTTGTTTGAAAAGTGAAATGATCCAGTGGGATAACAAATACAGAGCAGAAAAAACAGAAAGCCGAAACAGAACAGTTCAATTAAGCATTAGATGATAAACGGAAAAGCGAAAAACGTCCCTTGGAATCAAAATCACCCATGCTTCATCGAAATGTTAAAGGGAGGTGTCGGTCTGCCATCCCTTTAAAATTCAAAGCAAGTGACGCTCAACTCGTCCACTGCAGTCGCGGCGTCGCGCAATCACGCAAGGCGTCCGGCCGATTATAATGGTCTCTACGCCCCCCGACAGTGCAATGTACGCGCTGAGAGCACAGACCTGCTCGGGGTGGCCGATGGGATATCCGCGCGGCGGAAAAACGTAAAGTAAATCAGCAAAATCCCTCGACGTGCCCGTAGCGTCTCAACTATATTCACCACCTGTGCTGGGGTGCAAACAAAAGAAACGCTCTCTTCACCCTCGGAAACAGATTTATCAACCTTGCAAAAATCAAACAGTCTCAAATGAAATTGAAAGTCAACATCGATCATCAAAAACTCCAACACGCCTATCTACAATACGAGATTCATTGAATATTCTCCTCCAGAATTGTTGTGCACCGTTCCAGCTCAACACGAGTAGCCGGTCGACCGAAATATAGCTTTGAGAACTGAACGAAAAAGCTGGTCGGAGGAGGTCTCGCAGACGCAGACTTATCGTCCTTAATACAGTCTATCGACCAGTGGATAAATTGAAGATTGCGCAATAGTTCACATTGACGTTTAAGAGCCTGTTGAAGCTTTTACGGTGAATGCCAGATAACATCATGTTCTGAAGACGGTGAGGAAGTGAAAGAGGGCGTGCTTACCCCTAAGGAAGCGGCGGACAAATAAGCAGTACCTGTGCTTTCTTCAGGTAAAAATGTCTATTGGTTGGTCTTCTGCTCATGGAGTGGCATCTGAGTAATATCCCATGCCCGTGCATTTTTCCGACGCAATATTAAGCACGGTCTCATTAAATTTCGCAAATAATACCATGCACAGTCACCTTTAGTGATTTTCTGCAGCAACTCTGAATTAGGTGATAGTTTTATTCTTAATCTCCCGCTTCTTGATTACTGAAATTCTCTCCATAAGACCTAAAAGTCGAATTCTTCATGTGCTTGATGCCTCTGGCCGTCCATATGCTTCGAAATGAGTAACAAGAGGATACTTGAAAGGGTTTTTGATGTTGGAATGAGTAAAACCGCCTGGACACGATCGATTGTGTTTAATCTCTACTGGAGGCCTACCAGTAGATGTGATTCTCTGGCTCACAGCAGTTTTCCAACATAACTCTCCTAACTAGATAGTGTCCTTACATATTTTTACGGTGTCCGCTTCCGCTTCCCTAGCAACACTTCCGTTTCAGATGTCGATTGCGATTGTTCAAGCGGGTACCATCATCTATGACACTCCAGCGACATTAGACAAACTCGAACGTCTCACTAAGGAAGCCGCAGACAAGGGAGCAAAACTTGTGCTCTTCCCAGGTTAGACCGTCTATCGATGGTTTTTGTTTGCTAACTGCATACGTAATTAAAAGTTTTCAGAAGCATTTGTCGGCGGATATCCGAAAGGTATGGACTTTGGAATCGTTGTCGGTCATCATTCGCCAGAAGGCTCTGAAGAGTTTAGGAAGTAAGGGTTATTTTTTATTTATTGAAAACAATTTTATACATTTCATTGTCTATTAATAACATCACTAGATATCTCATTTAACATCATTTTTCAATATTTCAGATATTACAACTCGGCCATCGAAGAACATGGTTCAGAGTCGGACCGCATAGCCAAAATGGCTTCCAGCTACAAGATCATCATGGTAGTCGGAGTAATAGAGCGAGATGGTGGCACTCTCTACTGCTCGGTAACTGCTTATTATCGTACTTGCGAGTTCCAAAACGTCATTCTCATTGAAGGGAACAAGAGCCGCCTGCGATTTGTCATCTGCAGCGAATTGTCTTTATAAGCATGCAGCAGATTGGTTTGTACTTTCACGTATTGGTGGCTTTCGCCCATAGTAGCTGACAGTGAGAAGCCAGGAAGGGCTCGTCCACCTGTGAGGGAATGGCGTTTATTGGTTTTCAAGCGTTTTTATTCATTTTCTCTGGACTGAATTACGCCACACTAATTAATCGAAATTACCCTCCCTTTCAAAAAACGAGAAGAGCGTCGGGGGCAGACCATAAACCACAAATGGCGGCTCCATGGAAAAGCTCACCGGCGGCGCGGACGCGTTCGCGTGTTGGTGACGTCACAACGGCGGCGAGGAAGCGAGCAAGGGCCAGCTTTGCCACCATTACTTCAATTCATTGAATACATCGAATAGAGCATCTATCGTGCTCTTATGGTTAGTTCAATGTGTGACAAGCAGAAGTAGAAATCGAACACAAAGGACGCTCAGTTTATTCAACATATTCACAGTGTACTCTTAAGGAGTACCAAATGAATTTTTAAGAAATTTCACTTCTTAGGGAAAGGATGGTACCTGAACGTAACACTATCATTTCGCTTGCGGCACAACTGATTGAACAAGTTGGTATAGTGCCAGAACCCAGCTTTATTCAAGCAAAGTGGCAGCGGCGCTGGCCACTGCTCGCCCTTCCTTCGAATCTGCCGCAGCTGCGACGTCATTTTGACGTCACCAGCACGCGCTCGCGTCCGCGCCGCCGGTGAGCTTTTCTCTCCCCCGGAGGCCGTCGTCAGTTGTGGTGTATGAACTGCTCCCGACACTCTTTTCGCTTCTTCGGAAGGTAGGGTACATACAAGTCTCGGCAACAAATTTATTATATAATAAATGGTAGGTAGGTACCACCCTTTCGAGGTAGGTGATCTGTTGAGAAAAAAGTGTGAGCTTGTGGTTTGAATAATTCCCATGTACAATGTTTTTTAGATCTTCTACTACGGGCCTGATGGATACATGGGAAAACACCGAAAGCTGATGCCAACAGAGTTAGAGCGATGTATTTGGGGATTCGGAGATGGTTCAACGATGCCGGTGGGTATTTAGCTAATCGTGAGACTGATTCACTAAAACTGGTGTCAGATCATGCGGATCCAGGATTCGGGGTACCCGACAAGAGGCCCGTCGCGTAGCGAAACGGACGGAGACGTCAGCGGACAAGTCGCACCGCGTGCGATGTGATGTGGGATATTTAACACAGTGACGGCATTAAGACGCGGTTGCGCGCCTCACTCCTGTCATCCTTTTTTCGCATGCGCGGCTTCTTCCCAAGTTGTTTTTACTTATTCTGTAGGTCGTGCATTACATCACCTGACTACACCCCTTTGGTCTCAGAGATCGCGCCCTCCAAACTGCCCGTGTCCCACGTGGCCAAAAAAGCCACGTAGGACACGTTGTCGTCAACTTGATAAATTGACGCCATCCACCATAGTACGCGCTGTCACTCGTTCGCTGACACTTGTGCTTCTCCGCCTTCTCGCTGGGCCCCTGGTCGGATCCCCCACGATTCGCTTAACGAGTTGCTGTTTTCGCTAAGTCTGACACCGGCCTCACAGATTATCGATTGAGCTGAGATTGAGTAATGGACGTCTGTGAAATTTCTATTTGAACATTAATTCATTTGAGGTATTTGACACTCCGCTGGGAAAGATTGGTGGAGCGATTTGCTGGGAGAATTACATGCCGTTGTACCGTGTGACTCTATACAGCAAAGGTATTCTTCAATCACGTCACTGATGCTTTTGAAATCGGCTAAATTTTCCATAGGACGTACACCCTCTGTTTCTGAACCAGACACCCGTCGAGTACAGATCACACAACATAAGTGACGACGGCCTCCACAAAATGTAAATCTTTT